GTTTCATAGTTTAGGTATGGCATCAATGAGTTGGAAGGTATCTAGAGATGGACAACCAGGACAATACAGGGCCATGAGTCCATGACATATGGCAATCAGCTGAAGAAACAGGGTATGTTTAGTCTAGAGAAGAGAAAACTTAGGGGAGACATGAAAGCAGTCTTCATGTGTTTGAAAGACAGTCATAGGGACAAAGGGTCAAACTTGTTTGGTTTGGCTCCAGGTGGCAAAACTAGAAGCCATGGATGGATGTTGCAAAAGTGACAAGTTCTTCCTAAGAATTAGAGTTCTCTCAAAGCGGAAAAGGCTGCCTAGAGTGGGGATGGATTCCTCTCCTTGGAGGTCTGCAAGCAGAGGCTGGATCACCACTTGTCAAGTGTTTTATAATGGAGATTCCTTTGATGTATCTACATTGGACTAGATGGCCATTGACTCTCAAACTCTTTGATCCTGTCATCGCTAGTGTGGTGGATAAATGATTCTGGCTGACTTGGAAATGAGGTTCCCACAAACTGAATAACCTACATGGGGACTACATTTCTGCCTTTACTATACTAAATCAATTATCAGTTAACAAGCACTTATTAAACCCATCCCAGTCATCTTGATTTTGGACAGGGAATTCTGGTGTGAGATCCAGTTAAGTACTGGAGGTGACATATGGATGGCTGGGTAGAGTCAAGAGTATAATGGAAGCCAACCTTCCTCAAATCCCATGTGGTAGCTGGATCATTCTCTGCCAGAGAACCAATCTTGGATGCTGTTGGGATCGATAAGAACAGATTCAGTCTAGGCTAAGCACTTGAAGGATTTCCCTAGTTAGAGCACAAAGGCTTGTTCTTCTGGATCATTAGTGCAGATCAGAGAGAGCACCTACCCCTCATTTTAACTACCACAGTGGTAGCATGGCATCTATGGTGGTCATACAATCATACTGTACATTTAAAGCTAGAAAGGACCTTAGAGACAAATTATTCCAACCTCATTATTTTATAGAAGATGAAACTGGGGTTCAGAAAGAAGTGATGCCTGAAGTCACATGGGTAGTACATGACAAAGCAAGAATTTTAGCTCAGGCCCTGAGACTCTTTCACCTGTACCACACTGAATCCCTGCCCTTTCTCTGGATCAGTACCATATTGGTAAAATTTGGGGTGATTCCTAAATTCACAATAGCTTGGGCCTTTACAACCTGAAAAGTCAAGAAGAGATGGGCCATAAGAAAGAAGATGGGGCAGGGCCAGTCTAGACTGGGATGGAGGCCAAGTGAGGGACCACTTCTTGGTGGCAGGCAGGTTTGCCCTTTGATAGCTCCCTAGGTAGAATTACATGATGATGTGGAGGAGACAGAGAGGAAGTAGGTACATTACTCCCAAACTGCACTGGTTTCCAAACATTCTATCAGTCAACCAGCTCCCAGTGGGTAGGTTATTCTTTGGTATTTTTCCAGCACATATTTGCCCTTTGATAGCTCCCTAGGTAGAATTACATGATGATGTGGAGGAGACAGAGAGGAAGTAGGTACATTACTCCCAAACTGCACTGGTTTCCAAACATTCTATCAGTCAACCAGCTCCCAGTGGGTAGGTTATTCTTTGGTATTTTTCCAGCACATAATGGTAGCAATGGCAAGTAATTGCTGGATTCAAGACAAAAAAAAAACCTAAAAAAATGTTGAAGAATACAGTAGGAAATGCCAGAAGGCTGGCCATGACCTGACTCAAAATATGTGCATATTGCTGTATGGGTATCTGCATGTCAGCTAATTCATCCCTGATGGGCACGGCCACACACTTCAAAAATTGGTCAAACTGATCTAATTCAATTCAACATAGATTGGTCCAAATGATCCAATTCAAAAAACATAGATTGGTCTAACTGACAAAATTCAATTCAATAAATATCTCTGTACCTGGCAATGTGTTCCATTCAAAAAAATCTAAGAGGGTACTAGAGAGAATATCTGCTTCCACAGGCTTTAGGGCAAATCATTTCATTGGCCCATTTCATGGCTTGAAGGATTCTGGGAGGGAGACACACAAACCTCTGCCCACCAGCAGCCATGCCCTCCAGTTCCCTGTTACACAAGCATAATTCCCTGCCCTCAAAGAGCTTACATTCTACTGGAAGTATACAGCTTTTCCATGAATAAATAAATACAAAATACATAGAAATAAATGCAAAATGATTATAGGATCACAGATTCAGAGCTGTAAGGTCATAAAGTCTAACCCTGTAAATTCAAAATGTAGAACCTGAGACCCAAAGAGGTCATGGCCTGCCCAAGGTCACCCAAGTAACAAGTGGCAGAGCTGTGATTCAAACCCAGGTGCTAAATCCAGGCCTCTTCCCACTGGACTTTCAGAAGGAAGGGCACTAATAACCAAAGATCTCTTGAAGGAGGTGACATTTCTTTTTTTAACAACATTTTTTTCCAATTACATGTAAAGATGATTTTTAACATTCATTTAAAAAAATTTTTGAGTTCCAAATTTTTCTCCTTTCCTGCCTCCCTAAAATGTCAAGCAACTTGATATAGGTTATATACGTGAAATCATGTAAAACATATTTCCATATTAATCATGTTGTGAAAGAAGAAACAGACCAAGAAGAAATATAAGCTACATAAAAAAAGAAAGTGAAAATAGCACTTTATAGCAGCTCTTTTTGTGGTGGCAAAGAATTGGAAACTGAGAGGATGCCCATCAATTGGGGAGTGGCTGAGCAAGTTGTGGTGTATGAATGTAATGGAATACTATTGTGCTATAAGAAATGATGAACAGGCTGACTTCAGAAAACCTGGAAAGACTTATATGGTCTGATACTGAGTGAAGTGAGCAGAACCAGAGGACTTTGTACACAATAACAGCACGTTATGCGATGACTAATATTGTTAAACTGAACCTCTCAGCATTAAAGGATCTAAGACATCTCCAGAGGCCTCGAGATGGAAAATGCTGTCCACATCCAAAGAAAGAACTATGGAAGTTGAATTGCTATCACTCATTTTTACCTTTGGTTGAGTTTTGTTTCATCTTTCTGATGGTTCCTCCTATTGGTTGTAATTTTACTTACAACTCACTAATGAAAATATGTTTAATAGGAGTGTAAATGTAAAGCCTATATCAGACCGTGTGCCGTCTTGGAGAGGGTGGGGGGGGGGAGGATGGGGGAGAAAAATTTTCAACTCAAAAGCATATGGAAGGGGCAGCTAGGTGGTGCAGAGGACACAGCACCAGCCCTGAAGTCAGGAGTACCTGAGTTCAAATCCGGCCTCAGACCAAACACTTGACACTTACTAGCTGTGTGACCCTGGGCAAGTCACTTAACCCCAATTGCCTAAAAATGGAAAAAAACAAAAAAAAACAAACAAAAAAACCAAAGCAAATGGAAGTGATTGTTGATAAATCAAAATAAATTAATAAAATTTTAAAAAATACAAAAAAAATGATACTGGGGTGCTAAAAAAATAAATAAATAAAAACAAGTAGGCTTTAATCTGCAGCCAGACTTCACCAATTCTTTCTCTGGATGTAGATAGCATTTTCCATCATGAGTCCTTTGAAACTGACTTGGATTTTCTATTGCTGAGAAGAGCTGAGTAATTCATAGTTGATCATCACACAGTTAATGTTACTGGGTACAATGTTCTCCTGGTTTTGCTCATTTCACTTTGCTTCAGTTTGTGTAAATCTTTCCAAATCTGCCTTCTCATCATTTCTTATAGCACAATAGTATCCCATTACATTTATATACCACAACTTGTTCAGGCATTCCCCAATTGATGGGCATCCCCTCAGTTTCCAATTCTTTGCCACCACAATAAGAGCTGCTGTAAATATTTTGTCCATGTAGGTTCCTTTCCTTTTTCATGACCCCTTTGGGACACAGATATAATAGTGGTAATGCTGGATCAAAGGCTCTGTCTGCACAGTTTGATTGCCCTTTGGGCATAGTTCCAAATTGCTCAAGAATTTTACATTCATTGAATCTTGAAGGGAGCTGGGGATTCCAAGAGGAGGAGGTGACAAAGTGGATCATTTTAGGCATAGGGGACAGCCCATATCAAGACATAGAGGTGGTCTTACCTATCAGACTGGCTAATACTACAGAAAAGGAAAACGATAGATGTTGGAGGGAAAAATTGGGACACTAACTGTTGGTGGTGTTATGAATTGATCTAACCATTCTGGAGAGCAATTTGGAACTATGCCCAAAGGGCTATAAGACTGTGCATGCCCTTTGATCCAGTAATACCACTACTAAGAAAGAGCAAGACAGCAAGATAGCAAGAGGGCGTGAGGGAGAACAAAATGTAGTCAGCCTGGAAAGCAGCCTGGCATCAGACTGTAAAGGGCTTTAAATGCCAAGCAAAGGAGTTTGTATTTTATCCTAGAGACAACAGGGAGTCTAGATATTTTTGTATGTACCTGTAGTCACCATTAGAATTTAAGCTCATTTGAGTGGAGAATGCTTCATTCTTCGAACTTGTATCCACAGTGCCTAGCACAGTGCCAGGCCCACAGAAGACTCTTAATAAATGTTGTTGTTACTAAGTCTTTTTTTCAGTTGTGTCTAACTCTTTGTGACCCTATTTGGGGTTTTCTTGGCAGAGATAACCATAGTGATTTGCCATTTCCTTCTCCAGCTCATTTTATAGATGAGGAAACTGAGGCAAACAGGGTTAAGTGACATGCCCAGGGTCACACAGTTAGTAAGTGTCTGAGGTCAGATTTGAACTCAAGAAGATGAGTCTTCTTGACCCCAGGCCCAGTACTCTGTCCATTGCACCACCTAGCTGTTCTCTTAATAAATACTCTTTGATTAATTGATTGATAGATTTGGGGGAAGTTGATGCTGGTTGGAATGAAATACTCTCTTTCTAGTTGACTCTTCAGAATCAGCCCTCTCTTTCTTTCATTTGATAAGCAATGACTATTGTAAGAAATCCCAGACATCCTAGAATTCCTGCCTCCTAACCATCCTAGTTCTTCCACCAGATGAGCCAGCTGTACTTGAGATGGAGGACCTTGACCGCCTGGCCATTCACCTTGGGGATGGCCTGGACCCAGACTCTATTTCCTTGGCCTCTGTCACTGCACTTACTACCAATGTCTCCAATAAGAGGTAAGAGGAGAATCACCCCTCTGGCCCATGAACCTCAATCACCAGCAGGCAATAGACTTTGCCAGGCTTTACCAAGACTTGGGGTGGTGAGGAACCAAGTGCCTGGGCCCCGTTGACCCCATTTCTCATGCCGCTCACCATGGTTCAATGGAAAGAGTGTTGGAGTGGAGGCAAAGGACCTCTGTTTAAATCCCAGCTCTGCCATTTGATATCTATGACCTTGCTAAAGTTATGCAACCTCTCTTGGCCTTAGTTTTCACATCTGCAAAATCTGGGGATTGGACTAAATGTCTTCTAAGATCTCATCTACGTCTGAAGCTATGATCATCTTTTATTTATTTTCAACTCTGTCCCTATCCACAACCCATTTTCTATGGGAGGGTAGAACAAAGTTGGCTGTAGAGCTCACAGCTCAGACCCTATGAGCCTCCAGAGCTTTTATCAGGCTCCCTTCCCTCTCTAGACCAAGCCAAACCACTGAGGAGTGTGCATTTCCTTCCCTCAGGTCCAAGCCTGACATCAAGATGGAGCCGAGTGCTGGACGGCCCATGGATTACCAGGTAGGTTGGAATTTGAACTCAAATGCTGCTCAGACCTGGATTCTCGTGAGTTCATCCAGCTCCATAGGTTCACAGGCTATGTGCAGGGTCATAGTAATGTCCTTATGATCTGGCAGTGAGAGGAGGAGTTGGGAGAAAGGGACGCATTTGTCGATATAAATTGTCATGACCGTTTGCTATTTTTTTAATCTGCTTTAACTGCCTAAATGGAGGTAGGAAAAATTGGTCCTGTCACATGCTGACCTAGAAAAGGACTGGAAATGTTTGACTAGTGGTTAAGGTAGATTTGTTGTTGTTGAATCATTTCAGTTGTGTCTGACTCTTCATGACCTTATTTGGGGTTTTCTTGGCAAAGATACTGGAGTGGTTTGCCATTTCCTTCTCTAGTTTATTTTACAGATGAGGAACTTGAGGCAAGCAGGGTTAGCTAGGTAAACTAGTAAGTGCCTGTGGCCAGATTAGAAGTCTGGAATGTGAGTTTTCCTGACTCTAGTCCTGTCGCTCTATCCACTGTGCCACCTAGCCACCAGATAAGGTAGATGTCTACCAAATAGTTGTAGTGATCTTGAGCAAGCCAGCACTCCAGGTCTCAATTCCCTCATCTGTAAAAGGAGCTCTTGGTTCTGGAGCTGGCTTTACTGCTAATGAGCTCTGTGACCTTGGGAAGGCCATCCTTTTACTCTGGGCCTCAGTTTCCCCATCTGTAAAATGAAAAGACTGATTCAAGGAATTCTAAGGTCCCTCCCAGCTCTAAAATTCTACAATTTTGTGACTTAGGCCTCAGTGTCTTCATCTATAATACTTACCAACAGCTGCCTCATACTAGTTTAGTGAGGATCTAAGGAGACCCTGTCTTCCTTGAAATAACCCCATGGGATGGGTAGTAGTAGCTACATTATCATGATACATGATACAGAAAAGGGAACTGAGGCTCAGTTCATTTTCTGAAGTAAGAGGAGTCCATGCTCAAGGAACTTATTTAATTTATTTAACTAATATTTATTGATTTCAAAACAATGATCCAGTGAGGACATGTGTACTTCTGGGGCATAGCCACCCTGGTTCCATTCACCCTGATCTGGGGGTTTGCCTCACACCAAGCACACACCAAGTCCAATCAGGAGTTGGTCAGCCCTGCCAGGATAGCAAACTGACCATGAGGAAGGCATTCTGCTCTTCTCAATTCAAGGGAAGTCAGGAAGGGAGCAGTTAGATTTATTCACTTCCTTAGGCCAAACCTGTGCTTTCTTCGGTGTTAAGAATGCTCCCCTCTGCATGGGAAAATCAATCATTATTCTGCAATTTAAGGAGTTGTCTAAGGCACTGAGATGTGCAGCAATCTTTCTAGAGTCACACAGGACAGGATTTGTCAGAGAATGGACTCGAACCCAGGTCTTCCTGACTCCATGGCCAGCTCTCTAGTCATGACTCCATCCACCTCTATTTCTTTATGCTTGAAATTCAGTAAGATAGCCAAGCATGCTTTACAAATGGACCCAACCGATCCAGGGTAAGAAGACCCTACATACCTATGACTGTACCAATCAGAAGTCAACCTGTGCCCAAGCTGGTAAAATCTCTTTGGTAGCTTATGATTATATCCTACAGATTCATTGTCACTCCAGTTGTTGATGTGTCATTGAAAAAGGCATTCAGCCAGCCTGCTTCAAAAGCAAAGCAGCTTGCCCATGTCCATCTATCATGGAGAAAGCCTAGAGTCATTGTTACCTTTGTCTGATGCCAACTTTATAATGACTTTTACTATCTGTTCAAATATGGCTCCTAGAGTGCAAGGTCTTGGCACTTTACTGGGCGAGAAAGATTTGCTCGTGGCTTTTTTTTTTTTGCTCTTGCAATCAGGGTTGAGTGACTTGCCCAGGGTCACACAGCTAGGAAGTATCAGGTATCTGAGGTCATATTTGAACTCAGGTCCTCCTGACTGTAAGGCCAGAGCTCTATCCACCTAGCTGCCCCTGCTCATGGCTTCTTTCAAGCTACTCTCGGAACTGTACAAAAGGACTATAACATGACGTGAATTTATTTAAAAAAAAAACAGCAACATATTTTATTTCTTTTAGTTCTTCCAAAGTTGAAAATATCAAGACCTATTGCTAAGGAGAAAAAAACAAAACAAAACAAAAATCATGTCTCTCTCTCTCTCTCTCTCTCTCTCTCTCTCTCTCTCTCTCTCTCTCTCTCTCTCTCTCTGTCTCCCTATCTCTCTCCCCCTGCCTTCAGTCTCTCTCTCTGTCTCTCCTCTCTCTCCTGTCTCTCTCTGTCTCTCTCTCTGTGTCTGTCTCTCTCTGTCTCTGTCTCTCTGTCTCTGTCTCTATCTCTCTCTCTCTCCCCCTCTCCCCACCCAAAGTCCTGGGATGCAAAACAATCTGTTCTGGGACAGGTGAGTGCAGGAGGCTAGGAGGGAAGATGGCAAACAAAAACCCCTCCCGAATACTAAAAAACAAACTAACAAAAACAAACCCTGTTCAACAGAAACTGTGATAAAAACAGGACAATGCAAGACAAGTAAAAATGAAGAACAGTGGAGGGGGAAAAAAGGAAAGCAGCTTGACCAAGTCCATGATCCTAGGATTAAAGGATGACTATCCTACCACCTATCAGATAGAATTGTTGCAAGATAAATACTTTGTTACTTCAATTAAATTCATCAAATGCCAACCAAGTGCAAGGCACAGAGATAAAAAATAACAAAGTGCCTGCCCTTAAGCTGTTTATAATCTGATAGGATGGATAAGATACACAAACAAATCAGTTAGATGCAACTAGTGAGAGAAAATAGCAATCAACAAACATTTAAGAAGTATATATCATGTGCCAGACACTGCTGGGGATAACAATAATAATGTCTTATGGTTTGCAAAAAAATTAGAAATAATATCTTATTGGACCCTCAACCCTGGGAGGCAGGTGCTATTATTAGCCCCTTTATAGTTGAAGAAACTGAGGCAGGCAGAGGTTAGTGACTTGAGCAGGGTCACACAGTTAGTAAGTGTCTGAGGCTGCATTTGACCTCAGGCTTTCCTGGCTCCAGGCCCAGCACTCTAGCCACTACATTATGAGACTTAGTAAGAAATGGCTATTTTCTCTAGGCTGGAGCTCAGAGGTCAGTTCCGTAGGTCACTTAATTTGCCCTGCATTTATAGCAACTAAGTGCTTAGCAGGGCAGCTAGGTAGCTCAGTGGATAGAGCCTCAAGCCTGGAGTCAGGAAGACTCATCTTCCTGAGTTCAACTCTGGCCTCAGCCACTTACTAGCTATGTGACCCTAGGTGTCACTTAACCCCATTTGCCTCAGTTTCCTCATCTGTAAAATGAGCTGGAGAAGGAAATGACAAACCTCTCCAGTCTCTTTGCCAAGAAGAATCCCAAATGAGGTCATGAAGAGTCACACATGACTGAAAATGACTGAATAACAACAAGGTACTTAGTAAGTATTAGCTGAATTAAATTGAATTGAATTCTTGAGTCTCCCTAGTGTCAAGAGAACATTTTATACACTGTACCCTCACCTTCATGATCTGCCCTTTCTCAATGCCTTTCTGGTCTTCCTCCAGGTCAGCATCACAGTCATCGAAGCTCGTCAGCTTGTGGGGCTGAACATGGACCCTGTAGTATGTGTGGAGGTGGGAGATGACAAGAAGTACACCTCCATGAAGGAGTCAACCAACTGCCCCTATTACAATGAGGTCAGTGACTCTGTGGCCCCAAGATTTTGGGGGGACACTGGAAGAGGGTCCTTTCCTGCCATATAGAAGTCTTGACTCCCTGCTCCCAGGAGGGGGCTCCCTTATCAAACTTACAGAGAACCTCATGAGATGGAATGTCTCATACAACCAAGGAGCCTTAGGATACTGGCTGGCAGTCTTTTATAGAGTGATATACAGAGATATATATATATATTGACATATATATTTAAATAGATATAGATGTTGCTATATATTCATGAACCATAGTCCTACATAGCCCCTAGGTCTTCCACAGATCACAGCAGTCACTGCCAGTCCAATCAATCACTCTGTGACGGCTTAGCTCAAAGGTCAGTTGTCCTACCCTCCAGCCTCCCAGGTCCATACCCTTTGCTCTACTGGGATGTGCTGTGCCAGGTTTGTTCCTCTCTTCTAAGGAATAACTATATGGTTGCTTTTAAAGATGTTTTCTGAAGTTGTCTGAACCTCTTTTCAGTCCCTCTGGGAAACTGAAGTCTTATGGGCTAGGGTAGGGAAGTGAAAATCAGTAAGGACTCTATTCCCTCCAGCCATTTGGATTCCCTGCAGGCAACTGGCCTCCTAGCTAGGCCTTAAGACTCATAGAAGGAAGTAGAGTGATACCGTTGATGGAATTCATGCTTCAAGCAATGAAGAAGCCTGTATTTACTATGTGCCAGGAAATGTACTAAGTGCAGGAGGTAAAAAGACCTCCCCTCCCCAAAAAACTCATCCCTTTCCATCAGGGAACTTCTATTCCATGGGGGAGATAAGATGTATATATCTAAGTACAAACAGAATATTTTTAAAGTTTTCATTTTATTTCATTTGTCAATTCAAAAGTATTTATTTTTTCTCTATCCAACCCCTTCTCCAATTTAAAAGAAGGGGGGGAAAGCTCTTGTAACAATGGCTGTTCATCCATATTTCTCTCATCTTGTACTTGTAAAGCTGATTTTTTTAACTCAAGTAAAAACTTTATATTTATTTTCTATTAAATCTCATCTTACCAGATTCAGCTCCATTCTCTAAACCATCAAGATTGTTTTTTGGATCCTAACTATGCAATCCAGTATATTAGCTAGCTCTCTCAGCTTTATTTCATCTGCAAATGTGATGAGTAACCTATCTTATCTTTATTTTTAATTTTTTTCAGTTAGCAAGTTTTCATTTTCTCTTCCTCCTGTCTACCCCTCTCAAATTAGAAAAATAAAAGCCTTGTAACAAATATGCATAGCCAAGCCAAAACAAGTCCCTGCACTGTCCATGTCAAAAAATGTATGTCTCATTCTACATACAGGAGATAGATAGCCTGCTTCATCACTGGCCCTCCAGAATCTGGTTGGGTATTGAAATGATCAGAGCTTTAAATCATTCAAAGTTCCTTGTCTCTAGAGTGTTGTTATTGTTTTATAGATTGTCCTCCTGGTTCTGCTCATTTCACTGTGTACCAGTTCATACAAGGGTTTCAAGATTTCTCTGAAGCCCATCCTTTCATCATTTCTTGCAAAATGACAATATTCCATTATATTCACATACAATAATTTGTTCTAACATCCCCTAATTGACGAGCATCTCCTTAACTTTCAGTTCTTCACCATTCTAAAAACAACTAACTGCTACAAATATTTTTGCACATGAGTCCTTTTTCTTTTTCCTTTGGAGTTCAGGTCTACTGTTAATATCATTTAGTCAAAAAGTATATGTACTTTTGTGACTTTGGAGGCATATTTCCAAGTTGTTTTCTAGAATGTCTTGAAATTCACAGTACCACCAACAATGCCTCAACATGCCCATTTTATCTATGCCTTTAACAAGTCATTGATACAGAGAACAAATGGCAGAACAAGGATTTGAACCCAAATCCTTTGACCACAAATCCAAAGTACACTACACTGTACTAGTGAAATATAATTAAAAAGCATGTTGCATAGATTAAACCACTATAGAAATGCAAGCTTGTAGTAGTAGTAGTAGTAGTAGTAGTAGTAGTAGTAGTAGCAGCAGCAGCAGTAGTAGTAGCAGTAGTAGTAAGGGACACATCTTTGATCGTGGAAAAGTCCCTGACCAACTTAAGGGTCTGGTTTTCCTTAAGAGACTCCAAGACAGAAACCCATAATGGTCTCCTGGTACTTAAGGAGCATCTCCCCCCAAATATGGAGCAAAATGCAAAGGCTTACTTTTACCAGGTAGACATCTACAACAACAACAACAATAACAGTAACCAGCATTTGTATAAGGCTTAAAGTTTTGCAAAATGCTTTACTATCTCATTTAACCCCCCCCAAGCAACCTTGTGAGGCAGTGTTATTATTATCTCCATTTTATAGATGAGAACCCTGAGGTTGGGAGAGTTGAATTTACTTGCCCAAGGTCATATGGCTTAGAAAGGGTCTGAGGAGAGATTTGGACTGAGGTCCTCCTAACATGTCTAGCACTCCATTCCCTATGCCAAGCCGATCACTACATAAGTCTGGGGCCCACATTTTCTTCAACATTCTAATATACCAAAGATCTGTCATTTTTCCCCATGTGAGTTAAAACCCCTTTGTAAACCATCTTCAAGATTGGCTATAACCAAAAAATGTATATCCTTGTGGCCAACTTTGGGTTGAGCCTCTCAGTACTCGCAACTCAGAGCTCACCTAAGGCTAGTCACCAGATAACACAGGCTGATACTGAGCCCAAACTTGAAGATTTTCTATCTTGGAACACCCTAACACAGCTGGCTTTCCACTGGTTCCACAGCCTTTGAGAACCCAGCCTTACCTCAACAGCAAGAACCTATAGAACAGGACTTTGGCCAAAGGAAATCCTAGATTTGTTTCCACCAAATTCTTCCATTTCTTTTATCCTTATGTATGTCTTGCCTGAGATCCTGACTAGAAAGCCCATTGTTTTCCACTAACCCAAATACTCTAGCTCTGTGTTTCTTCCTTGTCTTTTTCCTATAAAGTATCCTTCCTTTAGCTCAAAACATTCTAACCACTATGCGAACTTTCTTTCTTGTTCCTTTAAACAATTGTGTTCCTGGGAGTGAGCTCTCCATTCCTCACGTGCTCACCCTCGGTGGGTTCCCCATTGTCACAGACTCTATGTGGGCTCCTCAAAACATTCCCAAAAAATACATGTAGATTCAGCTCAATTCAGCAAAAATTGATTAAGCAAAGTTTATTTTAATTTGATTTAGTTTGGGGTTTGGGTCCAGATCTGATTTTACCAACGTGGGCAAGCATTTTCTGTTATGGAAACTGTTGCCACCAATGGCCAGCTCAGCTTGAATTGTGTGAGGCACTGAGGAGTTAACTGACTTTTCAGGGTGACAGAGCTAGTCTGTGTCAGGATTTGAACTCAGACTATCCTGACCCTAAGCTAATTCTATCCATCATGCCACAAAGACCAAAAGATGAAACTGCGGCCCATGAACAGTTTTTACATTCTGGAGGAGTGGGAGACAGAAAGGAGAAATAGAGTAGAAGGAAAAGATACAACAAATACACAAGTAAATAACAGGTTTTTGGGATTTAGGTCAACCTTATCCCATCATTGACACTTTTCTACATCCTCACTCTAATGTGTGTAGATGTAGGAAACCAAGGCCTTTTTTAGTGTTGTTGCTTTACACAAATCACAATCACATCTCTATTGTCAAGGTCAGGAACCCAACATCGAACCAGGGAAATGTAGTTTGAGATTTATTCAATCAACAAACACTTATTAACACTTCCTATGGATCAGGTGGAAGCTAGGTGCTAAGTGCTAGGAATACAAAAACAAAAGCAGAAATAGTCCTTGTCCTCAAGAAGTTTATATTGCAATGGGGGAGATAAACAGTACACAGGCACGTAAGGCATATAAAAGATAAAATGCATATATGATCAATTAATGTGCATGTATTAAGTGCCAACTATGAACCAGGCACCATGCAAGGTTCTGGGTCCATAAAAACAAAAGCAAAACAGGGTCTACACCCAAGAAGCTTACATTCTACCTTATCTCTGTCTCTGTATCTGTCTCTCAAACTTCTCTGTGTGTGTGTGTGTGTGTGTGTGTGTGTGATCTCTCTGTCCCCGTGTCTCTGTCTCTGCTACTGATCACCATGGATATTAGGTATAACTGTGATGTTGTTATCAACCCTTGCTGCTCTTCATGCCCCCAACTTACACGAAGACCACTTCTCTCTAGCTCCTGGGGCCACACTTCCCCCCTCCCACTCTAGGCCCTGCCTGCCCTGGTCCCAGGCTCAGAGACAAGGGATGGGTTCTACTGGCACTGGCAGTACCTCTAGGCCCCTGGAGCTGTTGGCACAAGGGAGTAATGAATGCTGATTGCTCCTGATTGTCATCACTGAGGCGGCTAGTTCTAACATACCCATCTCTCAAGGTTGCAAATCAGGCTTCTAGTGTGTCCTGGGTTTCACAGCATCCTACTCCCACCAGCACTGGCCCAGCCCTAGTGGCAGAGTGCCAGATATCCTTTCCAATTAGTGGCTCCTGTCAAGCAAAGGGTCCCCCTACTCAAGGAAGAACCAGGCTCTGTCCTCTCCTTTGTCCTAATTCCATGGCTAAGGGGAAGTGGCAGGATCTCCTGCCATCACCCAGAGTCACGCTGGGGGTACAGCCAGGCACTGGCAGCTTGGTGACATGTAGGCCTGGGTCCTTCCCTCCCCCAGTACTTTGTCTTCGACTTCCACGTCTCTCCTGATGTCATGTTCGACAAGATCATCAAGATCTCGGTGAGTATTGGAAACAGCCCTGAGTGGGCACAGCTGAGAGAGCAGGGGATGCCAGCAAGACTTCCGAGGGCAGCCTCTGCTCTGCCAATATCCCCCCCACCTGATGGCCTCTTTCACTCTCCCCAAATTCATTTAGACGGCTCCCAATGACTCACTGCACTCAGGTTGAAGAGTCAAGCTGGCCACTCAATTTCCCAAATCCCCAGAAAAGACTGATGCACTCACTGCCCCCATCCCAGTTAACCCAACTCCATCCCCTGCGGGTGGACAGCCCCATGCCTACTCTGACTGGTGGCTGCTGATTCTGCCCGGAAGGTGATTCACTCCAAGAACCTCCTACGCAGTGGAACCCTCGTGGGGTCTTTCAAGCTGGACGTGGGAACTGTTTACTTGCAGCCGGGTGAGTAGAGTGGTCACCAAATTGCCCAGTGTCTAAACAGGGAGCCTGCTGAGTAATCAGATACAAGACAGTGTAATGCAATTCACCAAAGCTTAACTGAGCACCTATTATGGGAGTGCTGGGGGGCAGGGCTGCTAGGGAAGCGGGATTCAAAGAGGAAATGCAACGCAACCCTGCCCTTATTGAGTTTATTATTGAAGACTGGGGCCGGAACAACAGACAAGCCAAAAGGGCCCTTTGAGGCCATGTAGGCTCATTTTACAGAGAAGGAAACTGAGGGCCAGATCAGTGAAGTCACTTGCCCAATATCTCACAGCTGGCACATAGCAGAAGCAGAATGCTTTTCTCACTACATAACACTGCTCCCCCCAGAACTATCATAAGACTTAGCGCTGGGGCTCAATTAGGCCAACTCCCTCCCATTTACAGAGGAAAAAACAAAAGCTCAGAGAGGTTAGTTGATTTGCCTAAAGTCACACAGGAGCATCAGGATTCCAGCCTAAATCAGCCAGCTCCAAATCCAGCACCCTTTCTGGTGCAGATCACTGCCTCCAGCGCACTTGCATAGAGCCCAAGGCTGAGTGGGATTAAATGCAAAGAAGAGATCTGGATAAATCACTATGTGAGATTTGAGGCAGAAGAAATCATTTTCATCTGTGCCAAACAGGGAAGGCTTCATGGAAGAGGTGTTGCCAACTAAACTGAGCCTTTAAGGAAAAAAAGGACTTCAACAGGTGGTGATATGGAAGGAGTCGATTCTAGACTTTCATAAGCAGGAGCACACAGAACCAGCTGAGTAGCCACAGGGGAACAGCAAGGCTGGGGCTAGAGGTGCTTCTTAGGGAACCAGAATTTAGAGGCACTGACAGTGCTTTTCATTCCCTCAGCAGCATAGAAATGCCCTATGTCAGTACCTGGTTAGCAAGAACAATTAGTTAAAATAGGAAGTTACTAAATGTCACTTAATTGGGGGAGGAGAGATTGACAAACACATATTAAGCATCTACTGAGTTGCAGAGCAGGTGCTGCCCATGAGAGAGTTTCCTCAGTATAGGGAGTTCCCTAAACCAATGAAATCAAAACACAAAAGATTCGGAGGCATAAAGAAGACAGAGCTGGTGTTGGAGTCTGGATTCAAGTGTCACCTCAGACTCTGCAACATGTAGAAAAGATCCTGGTTTGTTTTGGTAGAGAAAGCTGTTTGTTCGTTTGCTTTGTTTTGTTTTTTTAATCCAGGAGTTTTTTCTTCTATCAGTGAAATCACAGGCCTGGTCCTAATCTCTAATCTCTGTGTATGAAGTCCTGGGGATAAGAGGATGAGGACTATTTCACTGGTATAGGGAAAAACTCCCAAACAAGGAAACTTTTTTCTATCAAAGTAAATTAGCGCATTCTCTGCAATTCACAGCTTGGAGAGTTGCCAAGAGATCTGAAGGGTTAAGTCATTTGCCCAGAGTTACACAGCCAGTATGTCAGAGGCAGGTCTTCCTGGCTCTGAGGCCAATACCCTATCCACTGTGCAACACTGATCACAGGCATTGGTAATACAAGGACAAGTATGATGTGGTCCCTGCCCTCTAGAAGCTCTCCTTCCAGGCCTAGCTTGTCTGCCCCAGCTGTAAAGGGGATGACCTCCCCTACTGTATCCTTAGAGGCGGCTTGATAGTGCCACAGTGCATACAGTGCTGGGCCTAGAGTCAGGAAGACTCATCTTGCTGAGTTCAAATCTGGCCTCAGACACTTACTAGCTGTGTGACCCTGGGCAAGTCACTTCACCCTGTTTGCCTCAGTTTCCTCACATATAAAACGAGCTGGAGAAAGAAATGGCAAACCATTCCAGCATCTTTGCCAAGAAAGCCCTAAATGAGTCACAGAGTCAGACATGACTAAAATGACTGAATAACCAACCAAACTATCATCCTTGAAGTAATTAAGGTTTCTCTCTCTCCCATCATGCCTCATCTTTACTCAAGTGAATTTGTCTTTAAAATTGATTTGAGGGCATCTTTCACCTTCTCACTCTGGGGTCTTTGCCCTAGGGGTCCAGGTCTTCCCTAGGGTGTCAAAATTGTCCGTTAAAACTCATTGCACGATCTGTACCATAAACTATACAAGCCTTCAATGCCCCCCTAAATGCTTCTACATTGCATATAGCATAATTAGAGAAGTAACAGGATGCATAATAGGTAGTAGAAATATTAATAGCTAGCTTTAGGGCGGCTGGGTGGCATAGTGGATAAGAGTTCCAGGCCTGGAATCAGAAAATCCTGAGTTCAAATCTGCCCTCGGACACTTACTAGCTGTGCGACCCTGGGCAAGTCACTTCACCCTAGTTGCTTCAGTTTCTTCACCTTGTAAAATGAGCTGGAGAAGGAAATGGAAAATCACTCTAGTATCTTGGCCAAGAAAACCCCAAATGGAATCACGAAAAGTCAGAGACAGCTGAAACAACTGAACAACAACAGTGTAAAAAGCTTAAGATTTGCAAAACCACTTTATATAAATATCATCTCAGGGTTTATTTTTGTTTATCACAACAACCCTAGGAGGTAGGTGCTATTATTATTGCCATTTTATAGATGAGGAAATGTTTGCAGGCAAAATGACTTTCCCAGGACTACACAGCTATTCAATGTCCAAGACCGTATTTGCACTCAGGTATTCCTGACTCTGGGTCCGGTGCACTAACCACTGAAGGACCCAGCTGCTTTCTAGCTCCATGGAGCACCTAGTCCTTGCTGCGGTTCTCTGCACACAGCCAATGTGGGCCAGCTGACAAGGAGCCAGATACCCACAGCTTGATTTATGACTGTTTGCCCACACCCTGCTGAGGGGATGCAGAGATACAAGATGAAGAGCTGTTTCAGTAATATTCCGGCGCTTTAAGGCGGCTCACAACAGGCCAGTGAGTGCACACTCCTTGGTGAAAGGTACCTGGTACTCAGCAAGGCCCAGGCAGCCCAGTAAATGTATCAACAGGGAAGGAGGAAGAGAAATATACATGATACACTCAAATTAATAAGTAACCAACAACAGGGCTCAGTGAGCAAGAACTAACAAAGTAACCAAGCTTGGCACACGTCCACGCACTTGTACTTAGGTCTCAATGATTAGTCATGCATCCTTAGCTCCGATGTAGGAGACAGTATATTGGACTTGCAGTCAGATGACCGGGGTTTGGATCATGCTGATGCTGCTGTGTGGCCTTGAACAAATCACTTGGCCTCTCTGAGAGCCTCGTTTTTCTACTCTACAAAATGAGATTGGACTAAAGGATACCTAAGGTTCTTTCTAGTTCTAAATCTATTATCCTGTAAATTCAATGAGCACTTAGAGCTTCAAAGAAAAGGTAGGTGCCCGGGGTAGCTAGGTGGCCTAGTGGATAGAGCTCTGGCCTTGAGTCAAGAAGACTTGAGTTCAAATCTGGCCTCAGATACTTGACACTTACTAGCTGTGTGACCATGGGCAAGTCGCTTAACCCCGACTGCCTCACAAAAAAAAAATGTAGGTGCCCTCCTACAAAGTTAGGGTCCCCATGGGTATCTCCGACTCCAGCTTTGCAAACACCGTTTGGAGTTGTATCTTCTCAGGGATCAATGTACCCTTAAATTGTGATGGTTGGCAGAGTAAGTAATGTGCTTGGGTGCCCCATGTAGGCTTAAAGCTTAGGCAAAAGAAGGGAAAAAACATAGATGAGTAGGAAAAGTACCTACAGTGGGGAATGATGAAAAGAAATGACAACTGGCCAACATCTGCTGTGTGCAGAGAACCACAGAAGGGACTAGGTACTTAATCTATGCAGCTAGATGGTAGCTGGGTTGCTCAATGGATGGAGCACTGGACCTGGAATTGTTCTCCCATATGACAAGGGGTCATATCCAGTCTGACCCCTTGTCAAGTATCTGATAAACCCTATGACATAGTTTAACAAGGTACAGTAGAAAGAATAACAAACTTGTAGTCAAAAGACCTGGTTTCAAGTTCTCACTTTGCTGTTGACTAGCTGTGTGATTCTAGACAAATCACTTTAACTTTTGTAAGCCTCATAGTCATCATCTGGAAAACAGAGTAATGATATTACTTACATCACAGGTTTGTTAGGAGGAAAGAACAAAGTACTTGGTAAATGTGAACTACTGTACTCAATGCTAGTCACATCTATACAACTTGATGAGTAGCTGAGAATCTGTTTCATCACAGCGACGGTTGGCCAGGGTCACTTTTTAATCAGGTGTCACTCAGGGGCTTGAATGTCTAGATTATCTTCCCTCCCCTGTATTTGATGCTGATACAACCGTTTAAGGATCCAGATGACATTATAGAAGATAATAATAAAAGCCATTCCTTTACTGAAGGCTTTCCCCTCCACAATGAAACAAACAGGCAAGACAAATATTGTTGTTGTTGTTTTAGACATGTCAGTCATGTCTGATACTTCATGACTCCATCTGGGGTTTTCTTGGCAAAGATATCAGAGTGGTTTGCCATTTCCTTCTCCAGCTCATTTTACAGATGAAGAAACTGAGGCAAATAGGGTTAAATGATTTGCCTAGGGTCACACAGTTAGTGTCTGAGGCTACATTTGAACTCAGGTCTTCCTGACTCCAGGCCTGGCACTCCATCCACTTCACTACCTAGCTTCCCCCAAGTATTGTTATACCCATTTTAAAGATAAGCAAATGCTGAAAGAGTTACTTGCCCAGGATCTAATGGCTCATCATAGAGCCAGAGATTAAGCCCAGATATCCCGACTAATTTCTGTGCCCTTGCAACTACACTCATTGACTGACATCTAGATAAGAGGCTGTCTAAGCCTCACAGATATAGAAAAGGTTACGTGCTAAATTTGATCTGGGTTAGTTTACTATTTCTCCATCAGTCAGAAGATAAGGAACAAATATGAAGTCTCACATTTGGATTAAAAAGCCTTGCGAAGATCTAAAGTGAATAAGATAAATGAAGGAATATTAACTTCAGTTGGATTTTTCTCTAGCCTGTGT